AGGAGGAGGAGAAGGTGGGCCTCAGGGCTGAGCAGGCTTAGGCCCAAACACGACTTCTAGCGCATCGGATACCGAAGGGCGGCATAAAGTGCCCAGGCTGTCCTCTGAGTCAAACCACGGTATCACAGATGCGTTGATTCCGACTCCATGACAATGAAAGAAGTGAACTGGGACGTAGTGCTGTGATCTGACGCTTGTCAATTGTCAGGTAAGATCATTTTCAAACATGCACTTTATGCTCACCGAAACGAAGTGCAGAAGGTCAGTACAGGTTGACAAGACGGAATGGCATTACCGACAAAGACAAGGGAGACTGGAATGGCCATTTCTGGCCTATTAGCCGTCGTCAGCCAGTCATACCCAACCCCGAAGTGTGCAACACCCGAGGCTCGAAATCGCGACCTGTTAGTTGGAAGTGCACGCCTCTAACCACTGGGCCACCATCCCGTTGACCTGTCGGTTTTCGATCGGAAATATACACTGGTAGGAGGGCGCTTACCGATCGTTCTTACGGAACTCACTCGTCCCGCTGTGCCCTATGGGTTTACCAGAATTGACGAAGAATACTTATGGTGTGACTATTGCGTGCCTACTCGGGCTACTTGCGGCCTTAATGCTGTGGTACAGACAGAGCGCTGCTCGACACCGTCATCACCATAGATGACGATCCGAAACACCAATGACGCCAGACTCAGGGGTGCAAAATCACAAGCCATCAGCGTGCAAGCAGCACACTCACCGTCGGTGCAGGCCCATCTGACTATAAAAATGCACGGCTGAATACCATGCCAGTAGTCCTACTCTCTCTCTCTCTCTCTCTCTCTCGGTTGAAGCTACTTCAGCATGGAAGCCTTCTACGGATCGTGGCAAGTGAAAAGCAGTGATGACGTGAGTGTGCTAGCTAAACGCCTGGGGCTCGAAATACCCAAAGACAAATTAACCCAAATGTCCAATTCGGTCCTGGTTTTCGCCCCAGTTGCCGCCGACCACTACAACATGCAAGTAAAAATGGGCCCAGTGACTCACGACACAAATTTCAAGCTGGGTGAGGAGTTCGAGCACACTACACTGGATGGTCGACCCGTTAAGGCAAGATTCTGGCTCAATATTTATTCCTTTTTCATGCTTGTTTTTACCGAGACATCTTCTCCATGTAAACTTGGTGTAATTAAATGTGCTAGTCCTCTTGGCTGACTGTCTCCACTAATCTCAACCGGAAGCGACGGTCAGCCAATTCTCTGTATCGCGTCATACCGACGTTGGACTTTGAAACTCCGGAGATAGGTGTGGTAGAAAGGATAAACTGGATTGTACTGACTTTCATCAACCCACTAGACGATGCGTACTTAATTAATGTATATGCATACATATATGTGTGTCCGTGTATACATACATATATACAGAACTGTTTAGGGCTTCATTGCATTCACCCAGACAATCACAGTCCATACGAAGCATATTTGCCTAAGGAAGCCAATCGATCGGCGTGTGCCCAATCCTGAGTGAATGCATATTTGATCTACATAACTTACTATCATTGTTATATGCTTACATACAGTTGCAAGTAAATGTTTACGATGGCGGGCCAAATTCGAAATTACTTGGTTGGAAATACGATAAATTTGTGTTCAAAACCTTTGTAGATGTTGATGAAACTGGATGGCAGCAAATTGACAATCGACCAGAAAGGAGACAAAGCCATGCTCGTTGAGAACGTTGTGGATGGTAACAATTTAACAATGGTGAGTAAAAACCAGCCATTGTGCTTTTTCGTTAAGGCGCAGATGATAGGGCATTTTTGTATGTAGCAATCCTGCAGAGGAAGAATGGACGACCACCCCCCCCCCCTCATATGAAGTCGTCTTCAGTTCACGACGGCCATAATGCCAGGAAAAGGCCCGTTAAACAGCTGCAAGAAAGAGAGGAAATTATTTTATGCATAAGCTAGCCTGTGCCTTAAAGGGTTGCTGGGCAGAGTGTTTTTACACCATATGCGCCTTTGAGGGGGGTTTCATTTCAGATTATCCGACTGACTGTAACTACACCGGCAGTGATTTCGTAAAATTGTCCAAGTGCCAAGGTGGAAAATTCGAAGATCCCAAAACAGAAAGCAGGAAAGAGAGCCTGATCGGAAAGTCATATTGAAACGACAGGGTGTACAGGCAGCTCAGCAAGCAGTCGCAGCAAGCGTTCGCACCAGGCCAGCGTTAGCCGAAGTGCATGCGTCTAAGTTTTATTCGGTCGCCGCCAATCGGTGAAGAGGGCAGTGCAACCAGCGCCGCGGTATCTTCTAGCTGGATATTGTCACACGCACTATAGTGGTGACTTACAGGCAGACTAGGTGACCTGAGCCAGCCCTCTGTGCGAGCCAGGATAATTTGGAAATGCATGAGACGCAAATTTAGGAAATACGATTGTCCCTGGAAGTTCACAAGGACGAGGCTTGTAATTGCCATGGCTGAAGTAATAGAATGTCCTTGTAGGATTTATAAGTGAAACCGCAATTTAAATTTTGCTATCACGAAACTCACTGAAGAAAGAACGATCAGATATTAAAAGAGGTGATGATTTCCGTTTAATCATCGTGTTCTCGGTGTTTTGTTTCGTATAAATTTCGCCCAGCAGCGAGCTCATTCTAAAATCCCCTTTTATGCTCTTTTTGCAGACTCTGAAAGTGGGCGACGTGTCTTGTGTTCGACACTACACCAAAGCTTAAATGTGCAAAGATTAATAAATGTGAATGTATTTTTCACAACACTTTCCTCTGCTCTATGGGTTAAATGCACACGGGGTTGGCAATGTTTTTTTTTTCATTTGGCGACTAAAGCACTGCCTCAGCAAGCAATCATTCTCCAACTTAATCGCCTTATGTGGCCAACTAGGTGAAGACTGGTGGCATACACATCAGCATTTCAATAGCTGTGCATTAAATAAGCCAAAGGTCCTTTGAAGGTTAGTAAAAATGCGCTGAAATGAGTCAAGAAATACATCCGAATCACTTGCTCCCTGCCGGCAACCTTCAGTTTGTTCAAGGTGACGCAAAAATACTCGTCGGCTAACTCCATTACCAGTTGGTGTCAGTTCAGATTTTTATGCAGTGGCTCACACCAACGCGGAACCGCACATCATTTTTTCACATTTCGACGAACCTGCCAACTCTCTTGATCAAATGTTTAAGACATTACTTTCCCCGAATGAATTACAACAGAGCGAAGTTGGTGAAGGACTGGGGAATGCCCCGAGGCCATATAATTTCGTGACCGTTGGTCCAGCTACTCACGACCACAGACTCACTGGTGTCCCATGCGCTGGAGACGTAATCACGCCTGAAGAGGATTCATCCTAAACCAAACTCGCTACCCAACAGCAATTCATTCCCTTATGATGTCCATTCATGTGACTGGCCGACCTCCACTGCCGTCAATGTCCTTTTTCCATTTGATCGCCTCAGGCTGTTTGTTTAGTAAATCGTTAGTTTTAAAAGCATGCATTGACCGAGGGCAGATGAATAAGGGGTCAGGAAATTCTATTGCATCATTAAATTCTGCATGTTGCCCCATCTTTGTTTGTTAAGCATGTTTCCTCGCCAATCCTGCCTTGGATGAATTGAATTTCAAAAAAATTACAACAGTCGATGTGAACTGACCTGCACTCAGGCCCGCTTGCGAATGTTTCACAGAAATTTCCAAGCTCTTTATCACGCTTTTTAACACACTTTCCATTGAAGTTATTTGCTGAATAGGTAACAGTCGATAGAAGCACTTGGAAGTCATTTCCGACGTGGTTGGATTCCAGCTACTGATCGTCCATTTTGCCAAGCCTATTATTGTGAGGCGCTTGTGTTCTAACACGTTGTGCTGTTCGCATGATATGCACCACCATTCACATAAAATATGCTTTCTTTCGTGGACAGGCGTCCTTGTCAATGTTTGCGTTTGTGTGATGAAAGATTACTGATTTTCATATAATTTTTCAGGTTGAGTCTCTAGAAATACATGTTAGCTCGAAAAATGTTTATAAATCAAACTACGCCTTGCTCCGGCTGCAAAATTAGACGGAAGGGCTATTTCCAAGTGCTGATCTTCAGTTTGAAAGTGCATCTTCTTCTCTTTAGGAGAGGGGTCACATTGATTACGGTGTCTTTCACAAATAATCTAAACTCGAGGACTAGGCGCGACCTGCGAGATGTTTTGGTGGTCGTCAACAAAACGATTGCCCAATGGAAAATGAAATAATTCTATCCCAGTTTTCTCTACGGCGTAGAGCCCTAGTCGAAACATTTAGCACTGTTATTCATTGTGCCAGATATCATCATTAAAGTACTTAGAGGCTTAGATAACCTATTTGAAAGGTGAAGGGTGAGGCTGACATTGACAATGCAACCCTACGTAGATCATGGAATTCTTCAATAGATTAACACTGCCGAACTAAATTTTTGACTCAAAAGTTTGTCCCCTGATGTGATAACGCGTATTTTCATGGTCGAGTCTCCGGTTACAGGGAAGCTTCCTCAATGCGATCTTCATGGCATTCATACTTATGTGAGATCGGAGTCGCCCACTCATGAGCCTGACACACGTAGCAAATACCAGGTCGTGTGTGGCACGCTTAGTTGTGCAGACTAGCCGTGTCGACCCCCGCGGCAGTTGGTTGAGATGTGTGCTACATGAAGTGCTCTCTGCCACCCGAGGCGACTGTAACTTTGAGGTAAGTAAGGAGTGCGTAAAGGATCATCCGAAAACAGTTGGCGAATGATTTCAATGCTGTCTAATTCCCTAACCAGGTACAATCGGTAATGTTTGCTCTCCACTAACATAACTAGCACAATCGACCATCACGTTGCTACCATCAACCGACGACTACCTCCAACCGCTCCCTTCATCGTCCTTTACCCCAGTAATTCACTCCCTCAGCAGAACTCTAGCAAAATGCAAACGTAGAATATTGGTCTGTGTTAGCACTTTGTCATATGTTTGTTTAATTAATATTGACCCAACTGTGAAAAACTCGGCGCCTTGTTGGGATTCGAGCTCACGCAGTAAGGAAAAGACTTCTGTACAGCCAACGCCCTAACCACTTGAGCTACGAGGCCCCGCCGGACGACGCGAGTTTAATCACATTTACCCGCTCAACCTACTGCAACGTCTGGAATCCACCAAATCTGATAGAGTAGGTTGACTGCACAAGCAGGATTTCCTAAGTAATTCACCTAGAAACGACCAGATGATTACCAGGGTCAAGTGATTCGCAGTTGGGTCAATATGAATTATTCAAGATCTGCCGAAATGTCTGGCAGCGGCGTTAACAGTCAAGTCCGTTCTGACGCGGCCACTTTGCTTGGCTTCTCTCGACTTGGTCCTAGCGAAGGATCGCGCTACTGATTGGCTAGGCCTGTTAAAATTCTACTTACTGCAGTCCCCGTGACTCCAACCTGCGATTGGTTTCCGTCAACAATGGTTAGTTTAATGGTCTGCCTCCCAAACTCATGAATCAACCTCTAGAATACTGCCACAGCTGCATAAAGGTGGACCCTCCAATACCATAATGAAGATTAAATCAACCGAAGCAAATCTTCCTCCCAGGTTATCTGCTGATCAAGAACACCTGTATAATGAAGCAACTGGTTCCAGGATGGGATTCAAGGAAGTCAAATTATCTGGAAAATAGTCTTTTCGTCCGCTTTATGTGGGTTCTTCTCGCAGATGTGGACAAAGATCATCAGAATAAGAAATACTCGAGGACGAGGAAGAGTGATTAAGTATTGTATCATCAACGGAGAGTCACTGAGTCTCGTGGTCCAGTGTAAATCCGGCTCTTGGGACGGCCGCAACTGCCCGGAATACACGTTCCGAGGCGCAAATAAGGAGTCGGTGGTTCAACCCATCCAACACATCTACTCTTCATGTGTAAGTAGCAATGTTTCGTCAGATTAATAGTTGACGGCGGCAGAGTCCTACATGAGAATTATGATCCACAAGACGACCAGTAACATGAATATAGTGAAAGTAAGTTCTGGTCCCTCCTCATCGACAGTGTTCATAGCAATGGAAAGAAGCTTATTCGTTGGTCACGACGCAGCAGAAGACGATTGACGTTGCCGGGAATAGTTGGACGAATCCTTCCTCTGAACAATGGACAAGGGAAGCGAAAACCGCCTGGTTTTGTCATTCATCTAATCCTAACAGCACAGAGAAAGTTGTGATACCCCCTTGACGGAATGCATCAGCATGTATTTCCGAAACGTCGAATGCAAGTGTAATGATTTTTTATTCGGGGATTCGGATTCGACGAATCGTTCCTCTAGACGATGGAAAAGGGTTTGGAATAGCGTCTTCCAGTTCACGGCTTCGTTCTCAGTCGCAAAAGCCCTGAAGGAAGAATAAATTAGTTTGTTACTCAAATCGCATGATTCATGAATAAGTCAACGACTGTAACTTGGAGCATGCACAAGATAAAAAAGATCGCACAGGCTGTGTGGGTTCCGCATTCCCCTAGATAATATCAAAGAAGAGTTGTTTGTAAATAAACTACGGATTATGCCAGGTTTTCCGTCCGCAATTCCATTTTTGCCTGTAAGATATTTGCCTTGTTACTGCATTAGATGCCACATGTGAGGGATTAACATAGAAATCTCTGATATTTTCACAGTCGACAGATAGGTCTGGAGGCGTCATGCGCGTAGGGCCCTCTACGCCAATGTGGGGGACCAGCGCTCCTAGTCCGTCCCGTGCACATTTTTTCGGACCAATGAAATATGCCACATATGAAAATTACGTGAAATGTTATATTGACAGCGTAAGTCATCGTTAGGTTAAAGACCGGCTTTATTAACTGCTCAGAATTGCTTTTATTATTTGCCGGATTCCCCAAAGACGGTAATGCTGGCAAAACAACTGTAGACAAAAAGACTCACGTATTCCGCCTAGGAGGCCTAGGCTGTCTCATTTGAGCACCAAAACAACGTCGTGAACTCGGAGTGTCTCGCCGATCTTCGTGGATTTCTGGGGGGGGGGGAGGTTAAGTGAAAATAACCCAAGCGTCAAATGTGTATGAACCGGCGGGAGACCACTCCTCCCTCCTACCAATATTGCATTCCCGCGCAAAGCAGACTGTCCCTTTAAGTAGTCAGTGCGTCTAGCCGTTGCGAACTACTGGAAATAAGAAATTTTGGGGCGGAGTCAAATTGCTGACACCTCGAATTCCAACCGCGTGCGTTGCAACCTGCACTACCAGGGAATTCGACATGCAATCAGATACGGCGCGAAGACAGCTCCGTCCGGGGCAAACGTTTTCTGACTGTTGATGATAACGTCATGTAAACAGGGATTTTTGAATTGATTTTAGCACATACTTTCTATTAATTTGGGGTTCTCGTGGACACAGCCATCAAGTTGACCCCAAGATAACGCCTAACCGATTTTTCTCACTCATTTTATGGAAAAATCGCGTCCTCTTGAACTGAACTCAGAAGCATACATTACAACGGCACTGTGTTATTCATCAACACGTATGCCTTTTGAAATAATACATTTTCAACCTGAATCCGAAAATCGTCCAATTTTTGTCGGCAATTCCTGTAAGTGGGGTTTTCGCACTAATGAAAAGTGGACAATATATAAGGCAGTTTGTCTGAGCCACAGAGAGTTTCGAGGAGATAGCAAGAGTGTCGGAGTTGTCAATGGTTCTCTCAACGTAAGCACTCCTTCTGGAGAACAT